ATCCCTATGTGGGATCCGAACCCTCGGGCGGGAGCGCCGCCGCGCTTCCCAAGCGGCGCACTATCCAGTGAGCCACCGGGCCGGCCCTCAAAGACTTAGCTTTAAAAAATGAAAATTTTCGACAAGGATGCAAAAGACCATTCAATGGAAAAAGAACAGTCTTCTCAACAACTGATGGTGGAACAACTTTTTTTTACTGCACTTTATTAGCTGTTACTCAAATTGATTATAACACAAAGGAATTTTCTTTTCTTTCTTTTTTTTTTTTTTCCCCTTTTTGAGACCGGCCACACTGCCCTCAGCCAGTGAGTGCACAGTGCACGGCCATCCCTATATAGGATCCAAACCCGCAGCGGGAGCGCTGCTGCGCTCCCAGCGCTGCACTCTCCTGAGTGCGCCACAGGCTCGGCCCCAGGACAACTTTTTTTTATACAAAAAAATGAAATTGGACTCTTATCTCATACCATATATAAAATGTAACTCAAAATGGATCAAAGACCTACATGTAAGAGCTAAAACTATAAAAGTCTTTGGAGAAAATATAGGTGTAAATCTTCACGACCTTGGATTTGGCAAAGGATTCTTAGATATGACCCCAAAAACACAAACAACAAAAGAAAAAATCAATCGGACTTCATCAAATAAAAACTTTTATGCATCAAAGAACACTTACCAAGAGAGTGAAAACACAACACACTGAATGGCAGAAAGTTTATGCAAACTGATATGGGACTAATATCTAGAATATATAAAGAATTCTTACAACTCAACATTAAAAAGAGAAATAACCAATTTTAAAATGGATAAAGGATTTCAGTAGCTATTTCTCCAAAGAATATATACGAATGGCCAAGGAACACATGAAAAGATGCTCAACATCATTAGTCATCAGGGATATAAAAATCAAAAGCACAACGAGACACCACTTCACACCCACGAGGAGGCTGTGATCAAAATGAAGGACCATAACAACGTGGTCGGGAAGGTACAGAGACTGGAACCTTCCTACACTGCTGGTGGGAACACAAAACACTGCAGCCGCTGCAGAAAACAGTCTGGCAGCTCCTTCAAATGTCAAACACAGCCACCACATGACCCAGCAAGTCTACTCCCAGGCATATACCCGAGATACATGGAGACATACTTCCATACAAGAACGTGCACATGGGGCCGGCCCGGTGGCGCAATGGAGAGTGCGCCGCTTGGGAGTGTGGCGGCGCTCCCGCCGAGGGTTCGGATCCCATGTGGAGACCAGTTCCCGCTCACTGGTTGAGTGCAGTGCGGGCGCAACACCGAGGGTTGCGATCCCATTGCCGGTCCCCGGTACGGGCGCAACACTGAGGGTTGCAATCCCGTTACCGGTCAGTAAAAAAGACAAAAAGGAAAAAAAAAAAAAAAAAACCGTGCACATGATGTTTGTAGCAGCATTACTCATAATAGCCAAGAAATTGAAACAACCCAAATGTCCATCAACGGGAATGGGTAAACCAACTGTGGTCCATCAAACATGAAGCCAATCAAGAACTTTCTGTGATGCCGACTGTTGACGGGTTGTTTCACATGGGTGCTATCCACTACAGCAGCCACTAGCCACACAAAGACACTGATCACATGAAATGTGTCTGGTACAAACGATAAATAGCATTTTTCACTGTGTTCGATCTTAGTGGACTCTAATTTCAATTTAAAAAGCCATGTGTGACTGGAAGTCACCATAAAGACAGAGCAGTTCTAGCTCCAACTAGCAACTTGCAGAACACACCGGGGACAGGGAAGCACACGAACAGACAGCCTGGGGTGCATCAGCAGCACCCAGCCTGGGGACACCCCAGGACAAGCAGCTCAGTGTCCTCAACAAATGAACTCGAGGGAGAGAGAACCGACAGACAAAAGGAGACATGGGACACGATGAATCTGACCCTCTGAACAAATTCTTACACTGAGGCAATTGGAAAAATTTGAACAGACTGGATATTTAATGACATTAAGGAATTACTAAGGGTTTTTAGGTGTGAAAATGATACTCTGGTCAGGTTTCTTCATGTCGTTACCTTTTAGAGAAATATACTGAAATACTTACAGAAGAAATATGCCTAGAATTTGCTGCAAAATAGTCGCAGGAGGGGAGTGGGAGAAGGTACAGACCCACCCAGGGGCTGAGAGCTGCTAGGGCCAACCGCACTCGCCTGCCGAGGCCAGGGGGTAGGTACCTAGGGTTTCTAACTCCCCATTCTCTACACTTATTTTTCCATAAAAATATTACAAGTCACCTTTGAAAACATCAATTTCTACTCTTATACAACAAATTGGCTTTTTAAAATACTGATTTGTTTCAGTGAATGCTAAAAGTATCTTCAGTTTAGACATTTGCATGTCACAAAAGAGAGCTGATTTCATGTATAAATAATTTCCCAAGTAAATGGATTTCAAAGTTCTTCAACAGAATCAACCATGCTGTCCCATTATAAAATCACATTAAAAAATACAGATAAACTAGAAGCTCAATATTAGATGTGTAACAGAGACAACAGGGCTTTCTTGCTCAAAAAGATGTGATTTGTGTATTTTACTGTATGCAAGTTATATTCGTTTTTATAAAACATGAGTGTTAGAAAAAGCTGGTGCTAAAAACAAAGTATAACACACCCATGCTATAGAAACCATATGGATATATCAGGAATTCAGCGAAACACCTGCTCGTAATAAGGAAATTATTTTCCAAACTGTTCATGTCCTACACAGAATGACTTACGGAGAATTCACACAAATCTACTACAATGGAAAGAACCCCGAGTAGGGCTGTTCCTGTCAGCGTGCCCTCTTCACAGTGAAGACTGCCTGTGAGCCCCCTTTGCTGCCACCCCACCCCACAGGGACCCCAGTGGTGTGAGAGGCAGGGCCATGGTTCTCCCCAGCACACAAGACCAGAACTATGCTTCAAACATCAAAACGGCTTCTCCTGAAATTCAAAAGATTTAGATTTGGTGAAAGAAAGGTTTGTTCTCCCATTTCAGAAAGAAAGAATTACCATGTTAATAGCCCGTCTTTAAAAAAAAAAAAAAAGGGAGTCATGGGGAAAAAAATAATCATCTATGGCAACAGACTCAAAAGCAATTGCCCTGGGCTGCGTGTTCACACAAGCAGCCGGTCAGCAGAGGCCAGAGAGCAGAGGGGCCCTCAGCACCACACATTCCTGCAGGGGTCTCCTGCAGCCAGATCTGGTGAGGAATTGGCCACGCCACCTTCTCTGTCAGATCACAGTGTTCCCTAAACAAAGTTAAGGGTGACCACCTAAAGGGCTCCCATGTCAGGGATGTCTGTCCAGGCATCTCTGCTGAGGGGACCCCAGCAGGCAGATCCTCAGTGCCTACCCAGGAAAGCCACTCTGCACCCACCCGATGTCGACTTGCCAGGTGGTTCTGAGAGACATGTGGCTGTCTGATGAGGTGTGTACTGTCCTCTATCTTTTGGTCTTGGTCAAAGTCTCTGTAAAAAGTGTTTTCTCCATTTTTTTTTTTTTTTTTTTTGCGGGCTGGCCAGTACAGGGATCTGAACCCTTGACCTTGGTGTTATCAGCACCATGCTCTAACCAAGTGAGCTAACTGGCCAGCCCTGTTTTCTCCATTTAATCAAAAGAAAAGCTGGGCACTAACACACGGAATCATGGTGAAAACCTGAGCTCTGCAACCCACAGGGCAGAAAGACGCTGACCTAGCTAGCCCTCACCTTCCTTGCCTTGGCCACCTCACATGAAGGGGGGACCTCACCTCCTAGGCACAGACTCCAGGATGCAGCCACCACTGCCACGGTCACTGCTATAACACAGGTCCCAGTGCCAGGCCCTGAGAGCAGCACTCTGCAAAGGTCCATCCACATGCCACCTCCCACATGGAGAGGCACAGCCCAGCACCCATGCTCACACCTCGGGAGAAGCATCTTCAGCCTGAATCCTCAGACCACAGTCAAAACTACACGCAGGGAAGACAGGCCACACATGCCCAGTCCAAAGGCCTGGGACCCACAGCCTTCCTTCCACCCTCTCATTTCCTTAATGTGGAAAACACTACAAATAAACCACGCTCACGTGTCTAGAGCCACACATGGCAGGGCTCAGGAGACAGGAGGGAGGCCCTGAGTGCCCCTGGGTCGTGGTGAGACCATCCAGGCTTTGTGCATGGATTTGGGGGCTGGACACTCAGCCACCTCTTTCTGGATCTACGCTCTAACCAGAGCGGAAGCTGTCCTGAAGCTGACACACCTAGAGTTTACCACGATGGTAGAAAATGAATGCCTATGTGAAGTTCAAACCAGGCAAAACTCTTCTGTGGTCAAAAAATCCAACAAGGATCCCCTGAGAGGAGGGGGAGCCTGGTGGGGGTCACATGCAGTTGCTTGATTGGGGTGGCGGGTGGCAGGTATGCCATGCACTTACAACTCCCCAACATCTGCATGAGATCTGCTATCATTAAGAGTTTTGTTTTTTTTTTTTTGGGCCGGCCCGTGGCTCACTCGGGAGAGTGCGGTGCTGATAACACCAAGGCCCCGGGTTCGGATCCCATATAGGGATGGCCGGTTCGCTCACTGGTTGAGCGTGGTGCTGACAACACCAAGTCAAGGGTTAAGATCCCCTTACCGGTCATCTTTTAAAAAAAAAAAAGAGTTTTGTTTTTTTTTTAAAGATGACTGGTAAGGGGATCTTAACCCTTAGCTTGGTGTTGTCAGCACCACGCTCTCCCAAGTGAGCTAACCAGCCATCCCTACATAGGATCCAAACCTGCAGCCTTGGCCGGCCACAGGCTGGCCCTAAGACTTTTTTTTTTTTAATAATGTTGAAAACCCACAGTGATGATGCAGATGGGCACTGGTGCCTTCACTGGGCACTCCCCACCCCCCACCCAGGCCCTGAAGACCTCAGCCCTGGCCTCCGCCTCCCAGCACCATCCCCCACAACACCATGGGGTGGGCAGCACCCTGCCTCCCACCATCCGCAGCCGGCTTACCAAACCAGCCTCACAGGTCTTGCGGGCGAGATCATCCAGACTCTGGTTCTGCAGCTTCTCAGTGATGAGTGTGACCATGGTTGGGGCCCTGTGTCCTCTGTCCACACCAATGGGCACTGGAGTTCCAGAACATCAGACTTCAGAAGGCCCAGGCCACTGCTGACCTTGAGCTAAATCTCAAGGTTATGTCTCCATTTTACAGATGAACAATCCATTTCTAGGGGCTCTTCAGAGCTTTGTGTCTGTTTTTTGGTAAAGAGAAATCGTCATGTGACTATATACAAAGCCATTTCAGGGATGTTTCTGTTATATGTTGAGTCCCAGGTGTATAAAATATTTCTGATATCCCTGCCTGACAGACACCCTCCCATTTTCAAAACTACTATGCAAGTTCCCTCCTGGGAGACCTGATGCAGCGTTCTGATTAAAGGACGGAGGCGTATGGGCACAGGTTAGAACAAACCCTCCCAAGCCCTGACTGTAGCAACAAGAAAGGCACGTGCTCCAAAAAAGGGCAAAGAAAACAGGAGAGGAGACAATGGTCACAACATTGTGGAAGTTCAGAAGCTGTTAAAAAGCCCATCTCTGGCCAGCAGTGCAGAAACCCTGACTGTGAACTACTGACTCACACCTCCCTGCAGGCTGCTCCAAGCACTGAACACCGGTCCCTCCCCCTCCAGCCAGCTGGGTGAGAGCCCCCCTCTGAAGCTGGGGTTCCCTTCTGAAAGGGGAGGGGGCACGAGCCCAGAGTCCTGCACCAAGCCCAGCAGAAGGCCAGGGGCCACTGCATGGAGCGATGATGCAGTGGGGGTCATAGGGCTGAGCTCTCCAGCCCCAGGAGTAGACAACTCAGACTACACCCAAGGCAGAGGCCAAGGAGCCTGCACCAGGCAGCTGCTGCCAATAGACACTGGCCAGAGAGAGGTGCCCAGGAAGGTGGCCACCAGTTTAGAAAGCAAGAGAGTCCAAGACAGATAGGAAACAAGCAAACGAATAAACAACTTAGAGAAAATCGACTGTAAGAGGGCAAAGCCTTCCACGGTGTTGCCGATCTTGCCCTCAGAGTGACAAGGCGCTGTATCCATGAAACAAGATCAGAACACCCTGAAAAATACACATTCAGAGAAAAAGGGAATTAAAACAGCAGAGACAGAACTCCACAGAACCTCGAATGCATGTTCCCAGTGCTCCGCCTTCCGAGAGGCTTCCTGGGCCCAGCGACTACCCATGGCGCAGGGGGCAAGGGCAGGTGGGACTCTGAAGACCAGGGAACCCAGGCCCCACCTCCAACCAACCAAGGCAACCTCTAACATCACCTCTAAGTCCTGCCCCAAGCCTCAGCACACGTGAGCAACGCGATCTACACCCATCACAGCAAGGCGGGGCTCCTGCTAAGAAAGCAAGGAGCGCCCAATTTATGAAATCTCAGTGAAATAAATTGATAGATCTAAGGAGGAAAGTCACATGAACATTTCCACAGGTGCTGAAAAGACTTCAACAAAATTCAATACCCATTTTTCATTCTCAAAAATATATACATACGCACTCTCAGCAAGAATCAACAGATACCTCCTAGATGAAACTCTAAAACACAAGGCCCAACAGCCAGCATCTCCCTGAGCAGGGCAACACTGGAGGTGTTCCAACAAACATGGAGGGCTGATAGGAGGCGCCACCAGACCACAGCTGAGCAGGCTTTGGGACAGTCGCAGGCCTGGGCAGGCGTCCGTTAGCAGGCACAGGCTTCACTGCTTGCCTGGCCAAGGGGACTGGGCAGCTGAACCCAGACAGGGTCTGTACGAGCACATCCTAGCAAAAGGCGCCATCCACATACAGGGGGCTATTCCAGGCCAGGAGATATGCTACAGCAGCTGAGATACCATCCCTGTTTAGCTCCTCTGATCTGAAATTGTATCCACTGCGTCTTTAACACGTGGTATGCTAGGTGCTGACAGCTCCCGCTGTCCCGGGCAGCAATGACCACCATCTCCAGCTCACAGCCAAGGACCTGTGGCTCCAAGAGAGGTGTGGAGTGCCAGGGGAGGGTCAGCCAGGTCTGCTGTGCCTCCCCAGAAGGAGGTCTCCACACCAAAGAGCCCGAACCAGAGCCAAGCACACCACAGGCCTGTCAGCTCAGTAGGACCCACAGGGACACGGAAAGTCACCAGCAACCCAGCTTGGAGCTCCCATTACCACACGCAAACTCACCTCAGCCCCAACTTGAGAGCTGTGGCCTCACTGGATGGGGACCTTACACGGCCTCCCTCAGCCCAATGGATGGCAAGTCGACCATTCTCCTTAATCCCACTGGCCCCAACATCCACAGCAGCCATCCCCTGCCAAGGCTGGGCAGCTTCTCCTCTCCTCTGGCCCACCCAGCTCCATCCACATGGGGCTCATATACCTCCTAGTCACACAAAGTGCACACCACCCCCACCCCAAAAGGCCACAGCAGCCACAATACAACCTGAAAAAATAATAAAAGAATGAGTATTTTATTTAAAAAACAGGTCACTTAGTCCATGGAGAAATGGGCAGGGAAAGGATGGGATGAGGCTGGAGTGCCTCGAGGTTCAGGAAGAGAGACACACTCTAAGGACAGCAGAGGCTCCCGTGGCCACCAGAGAGTAATGTGGGACTCCACGTACCCGAGCTGACGTACGCTGAGAAAGTCAGTGCACAGGGAGGAGAAGCTCTTCCCTACGGTACGATGCCAACCTATAAATGTGGATGGGATGATGGAAATTTTTTAAAAACCACCATTTGACAAACATCCCAACAGAACAGTTTTGGGCAAGAATCATCAATGAATGCTAAAACCTATGGGTAAAAGTAGGGTGAGAAATGGAATATTTACATAGCCTCAAAGTATTTTCCTACAAGATATTTATCAATGGCAAAGGAAAAATAATAACTTCACAGTGAACCAAGTGATCAAAGTGAACAGCCAGGCAAGACCCACAAACGCCGCAAGACTCCTGACAGACGTGGACACCAAAAAGGACACGACCCACTGTGGGGTTCCTGCCAAAAATGCAGAACCTGGATTTAATCACAAGGAAACGCCAGACCAACCCGAGTGAGGCAAACTGTGCAAAATCACTAGCCAGTGTTCTTCAGAAGTGTCGAGGTCATAAAGGACCAGGGTGAAGTCCTGTCCAAACTGGAGGATACCAAACATGACAGATGATCCTGGATCAGAAAAGGGCACAAGGGAACGATTTCCAAAACCTGACAGCACTATGACACACCGATGTAATCTTCCTGACTTTGATCAGCCTTGTGGTTACGTGAGATGGGAACATTTGGAGGCTCTACGTGCCCCTAAATAGGAGCATGGCAAAATAAGCGTGGGACAGTCAAACTCTGTCATAATCCACAGAAGTCTGATACATAAAATAAAATACAGCTTCCTCACGAAGTGCTCACGGGAGCGACGTGTGCAGAGCGAGGAATGCACCAGGGGTGCAAAGTGCAGCTCGTGCACATGCTGAGGAGCATCGCAGCATGCAGGGACCATGCCCACTGCCAACACAGCCATCCCAGAAGCCAGGACAGGGCTGTGAGTGCTGGCAGAGGAGAACAAGTTTCCTGCAGAACGTGGGTTTCCTTCAAGAAGAAGGAAGGTGCGTTCCTCAGGTAGTTACTAATAATACAATATAACACATATATTAATGCATTTGCTTCCTTGAGCTGCCATAGCAAAGCACCAAAAACTGACGGGGTTCACTCAACCGACATTTATTCTCTCACAGTTCTGGAGGCCAGAGTACAAAATCAAGCACCAGCAGGAACCTGGGTCTGGAGGCTCTGAGAGGGAATCATTCCCACACCTCTCTCCAGCGTCTGTCGGCTATCAGGAATCCTTGGCACGCATCTGTATTATGCGACCTCTGCCATCACACAGCCTTCTCCCCAGTGCAGAGTACAGAGCCTCTGCTTCTCTGTCTCTTATTAGGACACCAGTCGCTGGACTAGGGCCAACCCCAATCCACTATGACTTCATCTTAATTTACATCTCAACTACATCCTGCAAAGACCTTATTTCCAAGGAAGGTCACAGTCACAGGCAACGGAAGTTAGGACTTACAACCTTCTGTGGGACACAATTCAACCTGCAATGCCAGGCCAGTCTCCCCTCATAAGATATTGAACTATGGAGATGGAACGCAGTGATCACAAGGTACTGGGCCCACCGTGTCCCTCCTCCACTGCACTTCTCCGAGCCCAGGCTGCACAAGGAGCCCAAGGCAGGTCAGGTCCAGAGGAAGCACAAGCTCTAGCTGGGAAAGGCAAGAGACGAACAAAACAACGACAGATGGCAGCCAGCAGGGGCAAGGAGAAAAGGCCCTCTGAGGGGGTGACAGGAAACCCCAACTGAAAGCTGAGCAAGAGGCACTGGGAGAGAAGGGGAACGAACGGTGGGATGGTGGGGAAAAGCCCTCTGGGTGCTGAGGTGGATGCAGAGCAGAACTGGGAAAGACAGAAACCTGGCTCCAGGTGGGGGGGACACAGGGCCACGAACGATGCCACGGCAGGAACTGAGAAAGGACAGTGTGGGTCCAAAAGCCCACCCCCACTCCTGGACCGCTTGACACCAGCCAGAGGTCCTTCCTGACCCACATGCACATCCCGGAGGACCTGCCTGAGCCCAGGACACTTTCTCCCCACATCAAATGAACCCACTTCAGAAGATGCTATAATGAGCCCCATCTCTCCTACAGTAAGTAATTCAAAGTCACCATCCTCACTTCCAAAAGACCCACCTGCTCTTCTTTGCAACTGAGCCGGTGACAGCCAACAGATCCTCTGTTCCTTGTCTGCCTCTCCTCCCCTCTCTCCACCACCAGGCCTGCTCCACCTGACCTTCGAGGCCTGGACGACTGTGGTGGCCTAAGCTGTCCCTTCTAGTCCACATGGCAACCTTTGACCTGGCCTCAACAGAAAGTGGACCACAGCGCTCTGCCTCCCAGAAACGCCCTTCCTTGGCTACTAGGACAGAAGTCAAAATCCTCACCCAGGCCCCAGGCCTCAGGATGCTCCTGCTTCTCTTGTCCCCTCATGCCCCCATGTGCCGGCCACACAGGAGCCCTCCAGCCCCCAGGAGTGTCACACAGAGATGGCACTGTGGCACTCCCCCAAAGCAGTGCAGGGATGAGCCCTTGTCATGAGCACCACCTCAGTTCAGACACTCACCCTCAACTTGCACAGCAACAAAAACCTCTTAGCACGTTGCTCTGGCCACTATCATCCTCTGGGAATCCACCCTCCAAAAAAAGGCACCAAAGTGCATTCTATTTTTCTGTTTTTTAACTCACTATTAATATGGAGTTAAATATAGCATTAGAAAGCCACAAATTAGTTTCATGGGCCTGCAATAACAATGTACCACAAAGTGGGTGGCTTAGAACTGAAAGTATCATGTCACCGTCCTGGAGGCTGAAATTCCAAGATCAAGTGCCAGCAGGGTCGTGACCTGCCCTCAGGCTCTGGGGAAGGAAGTGTTCTCTCCTGGCCTATGGCAGTGTCACTCCAAACTTCCCACAGTGTCCCCTGTGACTCTATGTCCAAATTTTCCCTTTTCATAAAGACACCAATCATTTTGGATTAGGGTCCACCCTACTTCAGTATGACCTCTTATTAATTACATCTGCAATGGCCCTATTTCCAAGTAAGGTCACATTCTGAGGCAATAGGGGTTAGGACTTCAACATAAGAATTTGCGGGAAACATCACTCAACACACAACTAGCCATATTTTATTTCACCATGGCAACGCACACACAGTGCTAGTTTAAAAACCAACACTACTGCGTGTTTCTTGAACATAGAGAGAATCTGCCCAGCAGTTCCTCTCACAATGGTGCTGTTCAGCTCTGTACTCGGGTATTTACATCAACATTTAAACACCACATGTACACAGCTGTGCCCTGATTGCTCCCTTTTACACAGCATCTACTGACATTAGGGAACATCCGGGTTTAGATCTTCCCAACACAACCCTACTCCAACTCCCCCACTCCACACCTCCCAACGGGACTGCACGAATATTTCTGTTAAGTTATCACTGACATTATCATGTTGCTATAAATAGCATTTCCACTTAAGCCACACAGCGGGGGCTGTTCCCCGAAGTTAATAATCCCTACTTTTTTTCATATGCAAAGTTTCTGCCCAGCACAAATTTTTCCACCAAACTCCCCAACAGAATTATAGAGCTCTTAGGAACAATCTTTGTTTGGTCAAAGACATCAGGACACCTCCTGACCTAAAAACAAACTGAAGCCAAGTACATATTGCAAGGATTTACTGAGCCAATATGATAGTTCCAACTGGGAGACACACAGATCAGGTCGCCCTGAAGATGCGTTCCAAAAAGGGCCAGCAGAGCTTAACATTTTATAATCGCAAGAAGGGAAAGGGTCAAAGAGAGACACAGTCCTGCCTGATAACTTCATCAGGTGTTCAACTGTTCAACTGATTGTACATGACACATAGATCTGGGATTGTTACTAGGTTACACCCTACAAGCAGGAATTTAAGGTAAGGGTGATAAGAAGTATTATGGGTTATTTTATAGGTTTCTGGCGCCCTTATGGCTGCTTCTAAGTAAAATGGTCTTATGATAACGTTTTCCAGGACAGGTAGATGCGATTACTCACTTATCCCAGATCTCCCGAAGCACTATAATTTTGCTGACCTGGTCAGAGCAGAATCTTTTGGTTATTATACCCTCAGCCCTTCTGTGCCCGGAGCAGGGATATAGGGATCTGAACCCGTGGCCTTGGTGTTATCAGCACCACACTCTCCCAAGTGAGCCATGGGCCGGCCTTAACATACGAATTTTGAGAGGACAAAAACACTAGTCTACAGCACCAATCAAAATCCTAGCTTGTTATTTTGTGGATATTGACAAACTGATTCTAAAGTTCATATGGAGAAGCAAAAGACCCAAAATAGCCAACATAATATTGAGAAACAAAGTTGGAGGACTGACACTACTAGACTTTAAGACTTACTGTAAAACTACTGTAATCAAGAGAATGTGGTATTGACCAAAAAATAGAAAATTAGATCAATGGAACAGAATAGAGAACCCAGAAATAAAGCCACATAAATATAGTCGATTGATCTTTTGACAAAGGAGCAAAGGCAATAAAATGGAGAAATGACAGTCTTTTCAACAAATGGTGCTTAACAACTGAACACCCACACGCAAAAATTGACTGTAGACACAAAACTTACACCCTTCACAAAAATTAACTCAAAATGGATCAGAGACCCAAATTTAAAATGCAAAACTGTAAAACTCCTAAAAGATGACACTGGACAAAAATCTAGATGACTTTGGGTTTGGCAATGACTTTTGAGATACAACACCAAAGTCATCATTCATGAAAGAATCGATAACCTAGACATCATTAAAACTAAAAAAGATGCTGTCAAGAGAATAAAAAGACAAGCCACCAACTAGGAGAAAATATTTGCAAGACATATCTAATAAAAGACCGTTACCCAAAATATACAAAGAACTTTAAAAACTCAACAATAAGAAACAACTCAATTAAAAAACAGGCCAAGGGCCGGCCCGGTGGCGCACTGCTACAGTGCGCGGCTTGGGAGTGTGGCGGCGCTCCCGCCCGAGGGTTCGGATCCCACATACAGACCGGTTCCCGCTCACTGGCTGAGCGAGGTGCGGGAGCAACACCGAGGGTTGCAATCCCGTTGCCGGTCCCCGGTCCGGTACGGGGGCAACACTGAGGGTTGCGATCTGTTGCCGGACACGGAAAAAGACAAAAAGACAAAAAAAAAAAGATGTCATTCAGTAGTTGAATGGATATATAAACTGTGGTACATCCAGACAATGAATGATTATTTAGTGCTAAAAAGAAATGAACTATCAAGCCATGAAAAGACATGGAAGAAACTTAAATGCATATTACTAAGTGAAACAAGCCAACTTGAAAAGGCTATATTTTGTATAATTCCAACTACATGACATTCTGGAAAAAGCAAACAATAGAGGCTGTAAAAAGATCGGTGATTGCCAGAAGCTGAGAAGAAGGGATGAACAAGCAAAGCACAGAGAACAGTCAGGGCAGTGAAACTATTCTGTATGATACTATAATGGTGGATTCATGTCATTGTACATTTGTCAAAACCCATAAAATGTACACCACCAAGAGTGTACGCTAACGTCAACTATGGACTTGGGTGACAGTAATGCATCAATGTAGGTTCATCAATTGTAACAAATGTACCACGCTAGTGCGTGTGTTGTTAATGGGGGAAGCTGTGCAGGTGTGGGGGGGACAGGGTCTATGGGAACTATCTGTACCTTTGCTCAATTTTGCCATGAACCTAAAATTGCTCTAAAAAATAAAGTCTATTTAAGTACACAGAGACCATGTTTGCAGTGTTACCATTGCAACCCAACAAGGGAAAAGAACTCAAATCTTACAATGAAAATTATCACTGTTAAACTCTCTACTGGTGAGTACAGACTGCACCAAATCACCACATAAAATAAAGAGTACCAAGTAATTTCATTCTGAGATAAAGGGCATAAGGTGAGCTCTGATTAGCTGGGCAGAAATGCAAGTTCAGACTCCAGCTGGCCTGCTCGCTAGCTGGGCTCTCCCAAATAAGTGATTTCACCTCTCTGGGCCTGGGGTTTCCTGGAAAATGAAAATGGGAAAGAACCACCCACTTCATGAGGCCTCAAGGAATCAAATTCAATAACACATATAAAAGTATCCAAGTCCCTGGCACACATGTTTAAATTATGACCATTTATAATGAATGCTTGAAAGATTGTGGAAGTCAATTTTCCTTTGAGAAATATCATTGCAGAAAATGCTGAAAGGATTTATATTAAAAAATTTGTTTTAAAAAAATTTTTCCATGCTTCCAATGCACCAGTAAAAATACCTAGGTGGGACCAGCCTGTGGCTCACTCAGGAGAGTGCGGTGCTGATAACACCAAGGCCGCGGGTTCGGATCCCACATAGGGATGGCCGGTTCGCTCGCTGGCTGAACGTGGTGCTGACAACACCAGGTCGAGGGTTAAGATCCCCTTACCGGTCATCTTTAAAAAAAAATATATATATACACATAAGTGTTTTCTTGGTTCTTTTACCTACCAGTAAAAACATGTTCTCTCTCACATTAGAATCTCCTTACAGTCCTGCTCCCTGTACACATATAAGTGCATATGAACAAATATCTCTATAACTAGAAAAGTCCCAGTGCACTTTAAAAAATTATGACTTTGGCATTTTCTCCATCTTACATACTTTGAGTAGCAATAAAAATTGTTCTATCTGTGGTCCTAAAATCCAACCTAAGTCAAAAAAAAAGTAAGGATCCATCAAAAGGGAAAAACCACTCCCATGGCTCTAGCTCACAACCCCAGTCAGTGTGACACTCAAAGTGGCATCACAGAGCACAGCAGAGGCACAAAGCTCCAGAACCAAGTTCTAAGCTCATGAGACAGCCAGGGGAATCATCTATCAAGCCACGAAAGGGGATCAAACTGCCACTGCCCAACATACAAAGAGGACGCAGGAGAAGGACAATGGCACCAGACCTGGGAAAGGAGAACTGTCTGAAAGAACTACCGCCTAGAATTCCTGCACTAACCCAATTTAAACAAAAGCCACTGTTGCTAAGCAATTTCGATTTCCATAGTGGGTAACATTCAAGAGCTTCAAAACCAAAACTAACTGTTTCCCAGCCTTTTACCTTCAGAGGAAGAGGCTGCACTTCCCTTCTCGGACCCATTTTGATCAGGGACTCAAGCGACGGTGGTGAGGCGACAGCTGAGCTGTTTGAAGAGGCAGCATCAGTGTGCTCCAGTTAGATGTTTTAAATATTGTGGAACTGAAGCATTCTTGAGTAGAGCTAATCCATCTTAAAAAGTTCTCAGTGCTGAGAGATCATCATAACCTCAACCAAATGATGAATCAAAACCGAGATTTTTTTTTAAAAAAAAGGACCTTATAGTTATGGAAACTTAGATGCAAAGAAGAGGGACGCAATGACGAACTTCAAAAACTCAAAGTGAATTTAACACAGATTGAGTTATAAACTTCAGATCTGTGGGAGGAACGGGTAAAGGGGCATGAAAATCAAGTACAACGTATTTTGAGAAGTAAAATAAAATTGAAAAAAAAAATAAACTTCAGATGTGCACGTAGATTAAGGGAAAAAGAAAATGCAGCAGTCTACAGGGAAAGGCAACATCAAATGAGGAACACCTGGCGCTCCTGTCCCCACGCTCAGGAAGAGTCTCAGAACGACTTACAGCCCTCCAGCCTCCGCAGAAAAAGCGGCTTGGAATCCGCCTCAGGTCACCTTCCGCAGGTCGCTGGGGAGGGTCCGGGTCCGCCTTTAGGACTCCCGGGCGCACCGCTGATGGCGTCCAACTTCCTGCTTCCCGGCGCCACAAAATGACAAGCGCACGGGCCCCAAGAAGGCTGTGGCCCGCCGGGCTGAGCGCGGCGAAGAGCGGCGCGCGAGGGCGACTCGCAGGGGACCCACAAGTGGCAGAGCGCCCGGCGCGGCCCCTCACAGGCGGGCCCGGCCCCTCACGGCCGGCCCGGGCTCTACGCGCGCAGCAGCGGGGCCGCTCGTAGCCGCGGAGCGGGCAGGCACTCGGTCCGGCCCGACCCCCGAGC